TTGTTTTGAGGCTCAAGTGAGATAAATGAGTGTAAAACATACTGTAATCTCGAAGCACTGTATACATAGAGGCTATTATTTTTGACAGTTTGGGAGAACAATTTGTATTTCGACCTACAGCTTGAATTATTCACGTATATTCTTGATGGTAATACAACTAGCAGACCAAGTTATCAAGTCTAGAATTAAATTAGAATTTGATTTCCTAGTGTTAATCTTTCATTACCTAAGGTTTCCAAGAGGTGAAATAATGAAAGATAGCATTAGTCTATTCAGCAATAAAGTCATTAAAAGGCAATTATTTGGAGACATGGCAGAGCAGGAGGAGGGGAAGGTTACTGCCCTAAATGAAAGAGAATCCTTTTAAATTTTATGATTCGGCAATTTTAAAATTCTCTGTTTGGCCTCTGGGATTCAGTCCAGTGGGTTGGGGGGGGGGAGGAAAACCACTTTACATGCTGTTCCATTAATCCTTAAAACTTCATTGTGAAGGCAATTGGACTCCCACAGATCTGAAATCCTGAGGCTTTGAGACTCATCTCTGATCAAGGGAAATGACTACAAGATTGAACTACCAGAGTCAACTATTTTGAGTGATTAAAATAACTTAGATGAATAGCTTTGTCCTCATTTTTCAATTGGCGAAAACAGAAGAAATCAGAACAGCACTTTCACAGATCTCAACAGAAATTACATGGTAAGAGATCCCGGATGAATGCAGGTCCTAAGTCACAGAATTTCAGAGTTGTAAGAGACTTCAGTGACTTTCTAGTTCAAACTCTTTTCAGGACTGCCCATCTACCTTTGGTAAATACCTGATTCACCCAACTCTCATCTGTGGCTCCAAGAAGCTGTTGCCATACCTGGTAAACCTGTGTCTGCAGATAGGCTAAGCCAGGTAAAGGGTAACCAGCAATTCTCAAACCCAGTGAGTTAGGGGGATGTGTACCATGCACGTGAAGTTCCCCCATAGAATGGCCAGACGAGAACAATTTGTTCCTATGGTCATGAAGATGGCTGAAGAAGGCACTGTAGGGTGCTTAGAGCTTGGTCAGACATCAAAGACACTGAGGTCATCCACTGCATCCCAGGCCTTCACCAATTGTCCTGACTTTTGTCTTGCCATTCAACTTCAATGACTGGGACAGAGTGAGGCTGACAACTTTGCACATATCTGCCTCACTTAAACCCAATTCATGCACAAATCAGGACATGTCATTGGTCCTCTTTGAAAATGAAGGATAAACAGCAGTTCATCCCCTATTTGAAAGAATTATTCACTATGACATATTTCATAAGTGAATATCCATTTGCACTTGTCCATTGTAAATCTAATGAAGAAACTTGCTTTTTGGGTATTTGTCTAACTCCTCGATTGCCCTTCAATTGTTTTCTTGACTCCAGTTTGGCACCTTGAAATTCTTTTTTCCTCATTTATATTTATGCCTGAAATTTTTTCTATTGTCCTGAAAGAGGAAAAGTGCCTGCAGAAGTATCCAGCTTATTTCTAGAATATCATTTAAGTACTGAGTGAGAGACTGGCCCATCACTGGTAATGAATGATACAGAAGAGTCAATAATTTTAATTTTAATTTGTATTAGTAGCTGAGAGAACCAGGTTAGAGCATGGTCATATATTTAGAGACCAGCTGGCTGAGCCCACAGCAGTTAGGGCATTTACCCATCCTTGCCCTGTATCCAGTCATTGTGGTTTGGGGACCAAGTTTAGTTCTGGGGTGTCTGACCACTAATAATAGTTCCATTTAGTTTACATCCATTGGCTGATTAACAAACTTTCACTCCAGCATCTCAAAAATGTTACTTAAAGTAAAAGTTATGGTCCATAGCTTTTAAATTAAGAGTTATAGGCTATAACTCATTCCTAAAGTGAGGAATAAGAGAAGTACTCAATATACAATATGAATTGGGTATGGGACAAATACTTTTTCCCTTCTCATGAAAAGGAATGCTAAGAATAAAAGAATCAAAGCATGCATTAATAGAATGATGAGAACATTAATAACACTATATAAATATGGTTACAGTGAGTTGGGAGCCTTATTTAAGCCTCACGAGAACATAAAGCAGTTTTGAAATATGGATACCTGGGCAATTTACATTTCACCTCATTTGGACACTGTCCAATTAAACAGTCAAGTTTGATTATCTTTCCAGTAGCTGCTCTCTCTAACATACTTCTCCTCCTTCTGTAACTGTGACCAACTACTTTGGTGGATGGTGTGCTACCACACTTTGCAGATCCCTGGACCTTACCTCCAGCATTGTCAGTCTGCAAGCATTTATTAAGCGCTTACTATATGCCAGGTACTGTTTTAAGTGCTGGTGATACATAGTGAGACAAAAGCAGCTCTTGCCCTCAAAGAGTTCACATTCTGATGGAGGATAGATTATGCAAATAACAATGTAGATACAAGATAAAAACAGGGGCAATAGAGTGTAATCTTGGAGGCACTAAGTGGTGATAATGGAGGCTGGGTATGGCCTCTTGCAGTAGGTGGAATTTGAGCTGAGTCCTGATGGAATCCAAGGAATCTAGGAGTGAGGAGGAAGAGCATTCCAGGCACGAGAAACAGTCAATGCAAATGCTTGGAGTCAGGAGATGGAGTATTGCTTGTGAGGAAAGCCAGCATGAAGGCCAGCATGGCTGAACCATAAAGTAAATGAAGGAGAGAAAAGTATAAGAAGATAGGAAAGATATTAAAAGGTCAGGTTGGGAAGGGCTTCAAATGCCAGGCTTTAAATGCCAAACAGATCATGTTCTATTTGATGTGGGGGATGGGAAGAGGAGGGAGAAGATGGTAATAGTGAGCCACTGGAGTTTAAGTAGGGGAGGGTGGCAACACAGTCAGACCTGTGCTCTAGGAAAATCACTGACAGCTGAATGGAGGATGGATGAGAGTGGGGAGAGAATTGAGATAGGGAGATCATAGGCAACAGGCTATTAGTGTAATAGTCTACACATGAGGTGATAAAGACATGCATCAAGGGTGTAGCTTATGTGAGTGGAGAGAAAGGGATACATACAAAAGATGCTGTGAAGGTAGAAATGATAAGATTTGGCAACAGACTGGTTATATATATATATAATATATTTGTTAGCCTTGGTTATTGGGAAGATGGTGGTGGCCTCAACAGTAACGGGAAAATTTAGAAGTGGGGTGGGGTTTGGAGTGGAAAGATAATGAATTTTGTTAATAGACATACTGAGTTAAAGATGTTAATGGGACATGGAATTTGAGATGACCAAGAAGCAATCAGTGATGTGAGACTGGAACTCAGGAAAAAGATTATGGCCGGATCTGGGAATCATCTATGTAGAGAGGATAATTGAACACATGGGACCTGATGAGATCATTGCTAAGTAAAAAGAGAAGCCCCAGCAAAAAGTCTTGGGAGACACTCACAAGTAGTAAGCATAGTCTAGATTCAGTAAAGGAGACCATGAAGAAACAGTCAGACATGTAGAAGGAGAATCAGGAGAGAACAGTATCAGGAAAATCTAGTCTCCTCCATTAGATTGTGAGCTCTTGATATCAAAGATTGTGGCATTTTTGTTTTTGACTTTTCTTTGCATCCCCAGCACTTAGGACAGTGCCTGCCACATAGGGAGTGTTGCTGACTTGTTGACACACTGACTTATCTAGGAGAAGAAGGTAATCAAATGTATCAAAGGCTAGAGAGTTCAAATAGGATGTAGACTCTTAAAAAGCCTATTATTAAACTTGGCAATTAAGAATACTTGGTAACTTTAGAGAGAACAGCTTCAGTTGAATGATAAAGTCAGATTTCAGAGGGTGGAGATATGAGTGAGAGGAGAAATGGAGGCACAGAATGGCTTTCTCAAGAATTTGGTAGGAGATGCTGGTAGCGAGCAGGAATAGTTCCACATTTCATACTACCATTACGTAAATACTGATGTCAAAGTCTACAACGGAGATGGTTGATTTCTGTAATTTAGAAAAACATCACCATCAAACTTTAAAAACAGCAATTTGCTGAAGGCTTAACTGTCAGTACAACATAGCTCATAATCAAAATAAGCAACAGCCTAGAGATATTAAGAACATTCCTAATGCATTGCATCAAAGTGCCTACATAAGCTAAATTCAAGACATTTTTTATTGTCAAGAGGCACAAGTACATGGTTTTATTTCCATATGGATTTTTGCCAACCATCATAAATAACAAAGAACTCAAAAACAATTCCAAAAAGCAGTGTGTCAGGCAGATGGTATTTTAGGGGAGGAAAATTAAAAGTAGTAAGCATAGTCATACCTTGTGTACTGTTCTGAACTCACTGTTGTCTTAAGCATGTATAGGGCTTACAATTTTGTTGTATTCCCAAATGGGATCCCCTACAAAATAATGCATTATAACACCTCATGCAAAGAAACCAGCATTTTAATTGCAATTGGCATTGAGAAGGACATTTTGGAATGGAAGATTAGCCCCCAGAAGGCAGTAATAATGTGGTATGGATTATGTACAACGATTAGTACACATGAATACTCAGTTGTTTGACATTTTAGTAGGTCTTTGAGGGTTTCAAGAAAGCCAAGTTCTAGACAATTAGTCTATTCTGGGACATGATGGTCTGGGTGAAAAGTCCTTCAAGAACTGCCTTAATTGACATGCAGTCTCTTGGACCGCTACTGAGCAAAGGAACTCTCCAAAAGTTGGAGACTGTAGGTTAAACCCAGCCTGAAGCCCAGTGTGCATCCAACTTTGTTTTCATTGGTTTCCAGGGAACTCAAAAAGCATCTTGGTACATTTGTTGTGTTAAGTTTGTGTGAAAGTTGACGGACCACTGTCCTATCTCCTGGAGGCGGGGGTGGGGGTGGTACATAATATGTTGGTCTATATTGCATGCTTAATAAACATGAAATATTCCCAATGAAGGTGCAAAAAACAGAAATATGAAATATATGTTAATGTAAAGTTGTTTGTTGCATATGAAATAAAGCACACCAAACATGACATCTGTCTTTCACCTGGTATTTTATTTGTGACAAGGTAAATAGGTACATGGAAACCTTAGCCAATATACACATATCTATTTAACAGTGATTGCATTCTTAGAATGGGGTTTCAATGGCAACATAGCATTTGCTTTACTGTTCTGCAAACTATCCAATTTTCATGCTTATGGGCTTTCCAAAGTTTATAAAACTTAATCTGCCTGTTTTTTTTGTGCCTTCAAAGTAGCTGCAAGAATGGAAAAAGTATGAAAATTGTAATATGCAAGCATGTTACAGATTTTCAAGCCATTGACATTGCTATAAAGGGAAAAAATTATTCATCATTCAGTCTATTGTTTTGTGCAAGGAATGGATGCCCAGTAAATGTTATTCTGGGCTGATTCACCTTACTTCATTTTCTCTGATCCTCTTTTTCTATGCTGGCTACACTCACTTTCATTTCTGGAGGTGGCAGATGGGGATCATGTAGACACATGACGCCATTCTGTGGGCTATTCCTTAGAAGACAGAACATTTCAACAGCAATGTTCATCTGCCAGTAAGAGGCCTTCAATTTTCTCTGAATAGGGCTAGTCCGCAGCAAAAAAGTCTCCCCTTTTTCCAAGCACTTTTCTCCTCTCCTGATAGTTCTACCATTGCCCAGGGTGTCTTCAAACACAAAATCATAGATTGATAGAGCTGGGAGGCACCGTAGAGTTGGAATGAAAATCACAAGAGCCGGGCTTAGTCCTTGCTCTACCACTTTCATGTATGATCCAGGGTGACTTTTCCGAGCTAGTTTCTTCATCAGTAAAACAGTGACATGTGCACAGCTTACCTCACAGAGTAGTTGCGAGGGTGGAATGAGATAGGGTATTGCATTTTGTAAACTTTGAAGCTACTGTTACTGCCTAATCAGATTGAATCCCAAAGAGGCCAAATGAATGGCCAAGGCCATCCTGTACCAAGCCCTTACTCTTAGATATCTGAAATACCTTCCAAGGTGTTATTCATCCCAGCATCTACATTTTCCAAAGGGTCCTTGGAGAGTTAAAAGCTTTCTGTAGCACAACTAGGGTGGGAGGCACAGAGCCAGGCAGGCACCTGTGGAGACATACCTTTGTGTTCACATGACGTAGGTGGCCCAAGGTCAGCAGTCCCTGTTTCTAGAAGGCATTTCATCAGAAAACCCTTAAATAAAGGCTCTGAGACTCTTGACACCTAAAATCCCTTAGGGGATGGATTGAAACCCTAAAACTCCTCAACACTATTGTGATTTTAATCCACAGACACTAGAAACTAAATCTGACTTCTTGACAGCAGAGCTGTCCAGACCACTCCCATGGGAGAGTTGAATCTACAACCTTTTGCTCAAAGTAACAGTGCATTACTCCACGTGCCTCTCATTTGGTTTCTGATGAAATTTTACAGCTGTAGCCAAACGGCTCCCTGCCAGGCTGAAGAATGATTTTTTTCCTGAATTTAGTATCTGCAACTTTGGCTTGTCTTTCAAATAAAGGGTGCTTGTTCAAACTCTGATACAAATTTTCCAACTGCATTGCAAACTCAAGGCTTTCTGTCAACCTTGTCTGTTTTACTTGTTTATTTCAAAAGGTTTTTTATTCTTAGAAAACAAAAATTAATGCCAGTGTAAACATGCTACAGATACATACGTATACAAAGTATTGCACGTAAAATTTGTATTTCTTAAAAGTGATATTTCAGTATAATAAAAATAATACAAAATTGTGCAGATGATGTGAATTAATTTGGTTGGTTAATCCTAGTTTATCAATGACAATATTGTACACAATGATAGAATATTTATGTGTAGGTTTTTAAAAATCAGGTTTTTTGTGGGCATTCAATTCAAAATGAATACAGAAAAATAGTTTAATAAAAGGATTCTTTGATACTAGAAGCTATCCAGGCTAACTTCAAAAGTGAACAGCAAAAAGCACATAGAATTTGGAGATCTAACTGAGAAAGTGAGAACTTATAAATTTTTTTTAAGAGACACTTTTCTTCCTATGTCTATACCAGGTCTGTATTATTTTATGCTTCTCTTCTATTCATGGTTGATACATGTTTTCTATGTGTTGACAATAACAAGCTGGTAGTAAAAGTAGATATTTAAATTAAAAAATATTGCTGTAGCTTCCAAACCTTCCTTAAACATACTGAAATACTCAGTCGATGAGGGATGTTCATTTTCTCTCCATTAATTTACTATTTCTTACCAGTGGTATAAAACCCGCGATGATGAAATCCACTTTACTACTGAAGTAGCACTGTGGGATTTTAAAAATACTTACTGTTAAGTAAGTTAGTAAAGATAATAAAAAGGGTAAAAAATTCTTCACTGAAGTCGTACTATGATGCCTCTTCCTGGCGTGGAGGTGAACTGGGCTTCTCAAAGGCAACGATAGTAGAATTCAAGATGTGACAAGTTTAGCCAAGCTGAAAAGGCTTTGTTCACAGGCCTAGACATGGATGGTGTCGATATCTTCCTAGGGCTAGCCTAACTAAGCATGGAAAGGCTCATTATTGGGATGGTGGCCATCAAGTGACGAACATTTTCACCTTAGTAACTGAAGAAAACAGCACATAAGAGCAGAGTTGTGATTGAAGGAGTTGGAGGCAGTTCCCACACCAAAAGAAAGAATGTTTGAAATGTTGATGTATTACTATAACTTAAGCACACACTTACACAATGAAGAGAGTTTTTTGAAGTATTATGACATATTGTGAACTGATATAACTGAAAGTACAAGGGAAAAAAATTCAAAAAAATACGCAGCATTTAGGCAGCCATGAATCTTTGGATAGTGGGTATAAAGCTAATGCCGACAGGTACAAGAAGATATAGTATTATGTGCAACTGAGTCTTAGAACTGATTCTCTTCTCTCTAAAATATTGTATACATTCTGTTACTCCTCTAAAGAAGTATTTTTGTGGGATGGCGTCTTTGCACAATGTACTTTTCTTCTTTGTGAACTGAGCAAATGATTTTCAAACATGGGTAATGACATCCTGATATCTGGGTCCTTTGACATCCCAGACGTCAAACTACAGAGGTGGGAAAAATAAATAACTCACTACCCCCGCTTACAAGTTTATCTTTGTAGCTTTAAAAAGTACTTTCACAGTACCAACAACATATTGCTTGTCTCCCTGAGCCACAGTTTCAGAAGCAATGTTTCTTTTCCATAGGGAGGTGTCGAATAGTCTGCTTGATACAGTAGTGTTTGAAGGGTTGTGCGCTAGTTCACCTTCTAGATTCTACAGCAACTCAGGAATTGCATCCTTGCAACTCTAGAAAGCAATTTAAGCCATCCTGCATGGTCCTAAGTATCTACCAAATCTAGAACATCAGGAACAAAACAACAATAAAATTCCCCATTCATGGGGCTGTTTTGATGAAGGTCTTTTCCCAAAGGGATTATGCTCATCACATGGTGAGTTCCCAAGGTACTAGAAAATTCAAATGGCATCAACATGGTGCCCACTGGTTCCATAGCAGCTGGCTTCAGTCTCTTTCTTTTAAACTGAGTTGGGTTTTTTTTTTTTTCATGCATCAGGAACCTTGTCATTTGTTAATTGCTCTCTGTCAGCCATATCATCCTGAGGAGGCCTTGCTCGGTCAAAGAATCCACACTACCAAAAAAAAAAAAAAAAGACAATTGGATACATACACAAAGGCTTTGCTAAATTGAAAAAAAGAATGCATTCTTCATCGAAAGTGGAGTCCTACATGCCAAAGAATGTCTGGTAGCAGGGATCTACAGGGGTCAGCTATTACCAACCTGTAAGAGTCACTGTTAAATTTTTAGTGTTGTTAACTGTTAAATTTCCACCTTGGAAATCAGCAAATGCTACAAATCAGGGTTTGATTTATTGTTTTCTTGATTGTCTAGACTTAAAAAAAGTGATAGAAAAATATTAAAATACAGATTAAATTTAAAAGTGTGTCTTGCTTTTTTGAGAGCTGATTGTTAAATATTTACTAGCATAGCCCTACCTGGTAGTACCTTTAATATTTATAAAAAAAAACTTTGCATTTAAGCTAGTTAATGAAAACATGTATATACAGATATGCATATATACATGTGTATTTACATTAGACCAGGCCTCTGATTTCATCAGTACAGGAAGCAATCAGGGAGTTACTCTCTCTACCAATGTAGACAAAGACATATATTGATAATAACCATTTATTAAGTACCAGTGCTCTATCAACTGCATCACCTAGCTGCTCCTGATCAATACCTTTTCTACAACTTTTAGTCTTGGCCCAGGGTTCTTAACATTTTTATGTATCCTGGAACCCTCTGGCAGTCTGGACCTGGAAACTTATTTTTTGTATAATGTTTTTAAATAACTGAAGGAAATGCTAAACATTAATTAGAGGTTAGTGAAAATAAAGTCATATTTTTTTTCCTATTCAAGTTCATGGAACCCTTGAAAACCATCTATGGTTAGGGGTTCAGAGACCCTTTGTAAATAACCTTTGTTTTAGAGATTCCTTGGGGGCATGAAGAGGTAGTGACTTGGCCAGGGTCACAAAGTCAGTATGGATCAGAGCTACAACTTGAATCAACCATCTTGACTATTAGGCCAGTTCTCCATCCATTCCTCCATATATTTATATATCTCTACTCTTTTCTCCTCTCCACTCATCCCCTCCTATATTCTCTTTTCTCTCTTCCTTCCTCCAGTTTTCCAGGCTGTCAGTTGGAGAGCTGGATGCCATCTCCCGATAGAGGGGAAGCCTATTCTTAGATTTAGATTTTCAGTGTAGTAGAAAACATAACTTCTTTCTTCTTCATCTCACCCTCCCTCACTTTTGACTGACATGTAGCACTAGAGGGGTCCTTTGTTTTTCATTTCTTCTAGATTTTGAGGTCTACTTCAGCTCCATGTAGACCCCCCACATATTTTTGGGGAAAAATGCAAAACTTCCATTAATTTTATTTTCTTTCTGTCTTGAAGTTGAGCAAAAATTATTGATTATTGAATGTTTGCTTAAAGAGAATGAATCTCCCTTGGAATGAGCTGTTGGCTTGGCTGTAGGCTCTCTCCTCCACATTTTAATATATTTGAAATATATTCAATACATATGAAATATGTTCACATATATTTCAAGGTATGAAGGAAAGGATTAGGTTTGTTATCTTAGCCACAGACTTTAAGTGTTGGAAGAGATGTTTGTGCTCAGCCAGCCCAAATCTCTCCATTCTTTTTTCAGGGAAGTTAAACCCAGAAACAGAAAACAAGTTGCCCAGGCTCACACTAGTTATAGTAAGTAGCCAGGTAGGATTTGAACTCAGGTCCTCATACCTCTTGGACCTTTCCCACTACAAATCACATGACAATCTAGTGGTAAGAGATGGTTTGCAGCTATATCCATTGAATTTCCAAATGGTGCCTTTTCCAGGAGACTATATTCACTTCTTTAGGAAGGTTCAAGGGAGTCCAAATTTTTAATGACAGGATTATATTTTGTTGTTTCTCCTTCTAGTTTGCTAGGTTTAGCTTGTATCTAGAACTTTCTTTTTATTTTTCCTTTCTCTCATGTAAACTTAAATGTCAACTCCTATCAATTATCTGGTTGTCGATATAGAACCTTAACTAATGCTCAATCTCCAAAAATATTGTTGTTATTAAGTATATAACACAGTAGGAACACAATTTCTATAGGCTTGAAAATAGCTTATGTTACAGGGTGGCATAAGACAGAAGCAAATATTATTTATCAAGACAATGAGCTGCTTTGCTCTTTTTCATAATCTTGGTGGGATTTTATTTTGGAGGGATTCCCTTTCTGACAGACCCCAATGTTCACAGTAATCAAGAAGTGAACTGCCCATAGACAGTGAACACAAGATATTCGTTAGGGGGCGTGATAGTTAGAGGGTAGTAGTGGTGAAGAATCTAGTCATCCTATCAATCTTTTACAGGCTGGAGAGAAGCCATTATTCAGATGGAGATCAGACATGGATGTTCTCCCCTCTGGCTAGGTCTAAATAAAGCCAAGACCCCCCACTCACGTATTGTTTATTGTTTTTTAAAAGAGAATGTATTATATTTGTAAGGCACCTAGAACAGACAGAAATCAGCTGGGATGTGCTTTGCATTAGTTATTACCATAGTAGTGATGTTTGTGATGGGGTTTCTATTTTGGAAAGTAAATTGAGAAAGAACTTGGCATGGGTGCAGGCTGTCCTGCCAAAAACTAGTTCCTATTGTAGACCACTGGAGTAAATCACGATAAAACACACATAAGGGAAATCTGAGATTGCTTAATAGTGACACAGGCTAAAAGTATCTACATTTTTGTAAAAACATCATTGCAGTTCGAAGAGTGTTACTAAATTTGTAACCTTGTTGGCCTAACTGACACTCAAAGGATCACATCCAAATTGGCCAGTACTGAAGGCAATTATTTAATTGGCTTTAAAACCTTCAAAACATTAGGGACAGGATCACGTCAACAAAAAACCAAGGACCCAGGTAAATTACACAAGAAAATGTCTTTGTTAGGATATCATCACTCTCAGTCCTCCAGAAAGGAGATGCCTGGTCTTGGATAACGAAGCCAAGTTCTCTCACAATTCATTTACAACTAAATTCCCAACATGAAAGCAGGCACTAAACCACAGCAGTCTCCTTAAATATCAGTTCCACAAGCATATTAAATTTGCCAAAGCTAACTAGATACGTGATAAACGCTCCTTTTCTGCTTCTCTGAAGAGTTAAGGATCACAAGAGTTCAATGTTAAGCAGTCACTGTCTTTCTAAATTCTTTTGACAGTTTCACCACTCTACAGACCAAAGGAAGAGGGAAAATGATAAAAAAAAAAAACAACAACCAAAGACTTACTTTCCATAAGGCTAATGTCAGAAGGGTGAGGACCAGTAATCCAAGAAGTATGGCTAATATGATAACCCATAATGGGATTGAGAAGGAGACATTTGGAGTTGCCCAGATGACTGATGTTCTAATCTGAAATGAAAAGTGAGACAAATAAACTTTATTTTGAAAATTAATTCACACAAGGAAGCAGTGATCAGCCAACAATGTCAGAGAAAGATCATGGACCCAAATGCAACAGTGGGATAACTGGATACATTTCAAGTAAGTTGGTCACTGGGTTCTTTCCAAAAACATGACGTGTAAAAAGCCAGCTCAGGAATACTGTGGTTACCTTGTTATCCCCATTAGGGGAAAGTGTAAGCTTTCAATTGTTCACTATCAATCACCACTGAAGCACTAGAGTAGAGCCGCCTCTGGGACTACTGAGCAATCAGCTAGGCTACTGCCCAATTAGTTCACTTTAAAGCATCACTTCCTTCTGAATTGGATCAAACACTTCATGAAACAATGGAACTCCCAGGGCCCAGTTCCACATTTGCGATGACAAGGGGTTTATCCTACATAGACTAAAGGCCTTTCTTGGGAAAACATCTGGGTTCCTTCAATGTGTCTTGCAATAAAGGAATGGAGTGCTGAACATTGAGTCAGATAGAACTGGGTCAAAATCTTGCCTCTCACATTTAGTAGCTGTGAATTTGATTTCAATTGCTGGGAAAATTCTAGAACAGAAGACAGTTAAAAGGATGTTTGATAACAGCTAGATGGGGAAGTAGGGATTATAAAGAGCCAGCCTTGTGTCATCAAGATTAGATTTTGCCAGATTCATCTCATTTTCTTTTTTGATGGGACTGCTAAACAAGTAGAAGGGGAGAATGCTTGGGATATAATTTACCTAGAACAAGGGTTCTTAGCCTGTGGTCTGTGGATAGATTTCTGGGTGTGAACTTTTTTTTTTAAAAAAGTATTTTATTAACTGTATTTCCATATAATTGTTTCCCTTTGAGACCCTACATAGTTTATGCAAATTATTCTGAGAAGGCATCCCATAGGTTTTACCAGCTTGCCAAAAGGTCAAGAACCACTGACTTTGATTTTTAGCAAAGCCTTCGATGAAGTTTCTCATATCATTCTGGTCAAGAAGATGCAGAAATTCAGATGAGATGATCAATATAATCAGAAGTGGTTAGATGACTGGGAACAAAGGGTAGCTCCTAATGGGTCAATGCCACCTTCAGTGAGGCCTCCACTGAGGTCTTCAGTGGAATATATATTTCTCCCTGTGCTCTTTAACATTTTATCAGTGACTTAGATAAAATCATAGATGCCATGGCCAAATTTTCAGATGACACAAAGCTGGGAGAGATAGCTAACACACTAGACCAGGGGTGTCAAACATGTGATCCATGGGCCCCATTTATAGCCCATAACAATACTGAGTGTGGCCCAAACTAGATAGAAATACAATTAAGAAATATTCAACAAAATTAAAAAAACAGAATATAGATAATGTTAATATGTAGTTTTCTAAGTCAATATGCAGCCTGCAAGGATCCTTATGCATGGTTTATTTAGTATCCCCCCCCCACCTCTGAAGTGTTTATTTGAGTTAAACACTACTATACTGGATAACAAGATCAGGATTAAGAAAGGTCTTTATATTGGGATAGCTCTAAGTACATGAAATTCATTAGGGATGAATGTAAAGTCTTGCACTTGGATACAAAACAATCAATTTCATGAGTATGAGATGGGGAGGCATGGTTAGGCAACTTTTCTGAAAAAGATCTGACTGTAAACTCAGTATGATTCAGCAGTAGGGTTACGGCAACCAAAAAACACCAATGCCATCTTATTTATTTATTTATTTATTTATTTATTATTTATTTATTTATTTATTGGCTAGGCAACGGGGTTAAGTGACTTGCCCAGGGTCACACAGCTAGGAAGTGTCAAGTGTCTGAGGCCAGATTGGAACTCAGGTCCTCCTGACTCCAGGGCTAGTGCTTTATCCACTGTACCACCCAGCTGCCCCAAAACCAATGCCATCTTGAGCTTTGTTAAGAGAAGTATAGATTCCAGAAACAGGGAGGTGATAGTCCCATGTACTTTGCCATCATCATGTCTAATCTGAAGTACTGTGTTCAGTTCTGGGCAGCACAGTTGAATAAAGACATTGATAGACTGGCAAGTGTCCAGAGGAGGACCACCAGGATTGTAAAGGGCCTTGAGGCCATGCTACATGAGGATCAGTTAAAAAAATTAGGGATATTTAACCTGGAGAAAAAGAAAAAAGACTGGAGGAGGGGAACACAGTAATTATGTTCACTTCTTTGAAGTGCTATTATGTGGAAGAAGCATTTGATGGTTCTTTTTGGCCAAAGAATGCAGGACCAGGAGGAATGAACAGACATCGAAAAGAAGCAAGTTGAACTCCGCCCCCCCCCCAAGAAAACAACACAAAACTTCCTATCCACTTGAGGTGTCCTCATGTGGAATGGGCTTCGCCAAGAAGTGATGGATTCTCCCCCCTTGGAAGTCTTTCTTCAAGTAGAGGCTGGAATATTTCATGCCATAGTAACCTTGACCTTTTTTTTTTGTTGTTGTTGTTTTTGGACAGATTTATTAAAGTAGTAGATGAAGGAAATACAATGGATATAGTTTACCAAGGTTTTAGCAAAGCTTTTAGGGATGCGTATGTCATAGCAAGGATTCCTTATGTGCATGGGTTAGACTAAATGGCCATGTATGATCGATCCCTTCCAACTCTTAAGTTCTGTGGTTCTGTGATAATGATCCCCTTACATATGGTGCAGGGCAGGAGTAAGGAATCTACAGCCTTGAGGCTACATGTAGCCTCCAGGTCCTCAAGTGCAGCCCTTTGACTGAATCCAAAATCCCCTTAATAAAAGGATTTGTTCTGTAAAGTTTGGATTCAAAGGGCTGCACTTGAGGACCTAGAGCGCCACATACAGCCTCGAGGCTGCAGGTTCCCCACCAGACGATGGGAGGCCAGTCTTATAATCTGTAAGATAGACTGGTTGTCACCTGAACTTTCAGTGCCTCAGGTAACTTTCCAAGACTCCAAAGTGCAGAGCAGTTGAGGATCTGCGTTCTTATAAGAAGCTTCTTCATTGGTATTTCCCCATATCAATGAAATCATATGTCTTAGATAGAAACAAAGAAAACAAGTTTCTACCTCACAGAACTGTTGGCTACAATAAGATAATGTATGTGAAGTACTTTGCAAATTGAAAGGTGTATTTTTTATTATTAATCTATTCACTGTTTTGTTTTGTTTTTTTACTTTTACTATTAATTTTCCTTGGTAATTAAACCACTTTTACAATGGCCTTTGGAAATGAAACTTGCATATCATCCACTTGTCTTAATGCAAAGCATTTGGTGCTCCTGGGAAAGTAGCCATCAGTCAAGTGAATGCTGATTATATGTCAAAATGCCTAAGTATCTTAAATGGATACTTGGAACCAAAATATTGTCTGCTAAGTAGCTAGGTTCTGTAGCCCAGGGTCATTAATCTGAATGTGTGAGAAATTAACAAAATTATTTTTCTCTTATGTCTCTAGGTGCCTATGACTCATGACACAGTCTTACAATTGTTACATTCCTAAATATCCCCAAGAAAAGGTACTAGGTAGGATTTTTAAAGACACCTAAAGTCACCAGGGTTCTAGTCTTACTCCTGGTACATTTTGGCCTCAATCTGTCAATCTGAAACACAATCATAGTGGGTAGGCTACACCCTTGAAATCTGGTGCCACCCTATCCTTCAAGTCTCATCTCATACAGTCACTTCAACTCTCTGGGCCTCAGTTTATTCATCTGTAAAGTAAAGGTGTTGGACAAGAAGCCTTTGAAATCCTTTCTGGTTCTAGATTTAAGATCCTACTCTTCTTCACGTAGGCTATACACTACAGCCTAATTGGACTGCTTTCCATCATCCATTCTCGATTCTACTTCTCTGCCTTTGATGACACTTTTCTTTTGCCTCAAATGTGCTACCCTCCTTTAAAACCCAGCTCAAACCTCACCTTCTCCATCAAGTCTTATCTGCTCCGCTCCCATTTGTCTTCTAGACTTCTGATGGTACTTCACATCTTTTTAAATCATTTCTGTATTCATTTGTATTATGTTTTTTTCTCTACATATGTGTCTGGTCCTAATGGAATGAACTTAATTCAATTCCATTCAACAAGCCTTTATTTAATGCCTAAAATATATCAAGCACTAGTGATATAAAGGGGAAAAAAAGAGCCCTTGCCTGTGAGTAGCTTACGTTAGAATGTTATTGAATAAGTATTCTTGACCTCTCCCAGGTAAGACCATAAATTCTGAGGGGATAGCGACCTCCTCCAATACTGCCATTTTCTAGAGGAGGAAACTGAGGCCTTGAGAAATGAAGAGACTCACCCAAAGTCAGACAATAGCAAAATCAGAGGTGGGAGCTGAGCTCAGGGCTTGTGCTTACAGATCTGTGCACTCCATCATGGCAGCAAAGCAAAATCTCAGTGTCATATTTTCCTTGGGCCCTAGCACTGTGCTCTGTAAATGTGCTGAATTTACTTTAATAGGTTTTTAGAGCCAGAAGGGAGTTTAAAGATCTATTTCAATTGTTATGACTTACCATAGAAGCAAAATTACAATGGAAAACCCCAATGATTCTTGTAAATGTTTCTAAAGGCCAAGCTCATGCCTAATTCTATGTTCTTGTAATTCCTGGCACACGGTTGAAATTCACCAAGCATTTACTAATAAGAGCACTGTGGTGAGACTGGGACCTGATTATTATTATTCTTTGAATTTTACCTAATTAATTATCTCATGGAAGAATCCAATTGTTTCTTATTCAAGCCATCATTTAGTAAGCAAGCAGATATCCACGTGCAAGGAATTAAAATAAAAAACAAATGTTATTTTGCTTAATAAAAGGTGAAAGAATAAAATCAGTGGAGTCCATCACGTACTTTGGGCAACTAGGTAGAACAGTGGATAGAGTGCTGGGAATGGAGTAAGGAAAGATTCATCTTCTATTCAAATCTGGCCTCAGACACTTACTCGCTGCGTGATCCTGGGCAAGTCACTTAACCGTGTTTGTCTTAGTTTCCTCATCT